CTAATACGCGTTTGGCTATAAGGTAATGTACTTATTAACTACACAAGGTGCCAGTTACTGTAGCATTCGTTAAAATTGCATAATCGATGGTCGAATTATGCCTTTAAGTTAAGGAGTGAATGTTCCCCCTTCTTTTACACCTCTTGACCTTTGACCTTTGACCCCCAGCTTCGACATCCCAACTCGTTTTGACGATCCCCCCAACGACCCAAATATCGTGACCGTACGTCGAGCGGTTAAGATTTGTGCCCAACTGTTGACGCACGGACGGACGCACGGACGCACGGACGGACGATCAAGCGATTCTACAAGCTGCATCTGACTATGTCAGATGAGCTAAAAAGATTAACGAAAATGCTCCGCGCCGACGCATACGAAATGCACTGCCGTGACGAATAACTATTTCTGATTCAATCTAATTCCATTTCTATTTTAATTACTAAACATTCGAACTCGAAAACGCGACGATAAAACTAAAGGCTTGAGTTTATGAGTTCACGGAAACATCAGCTCACTAGCTCTCGCGGCGGCGGCCGCGTCGGTATCTTACCCGACGCAAACTTCTCGCCGCGATACTGCTCCAACTCTGCCGCCGTCAGTCGATCCAGCGGCGTGTACGAGTCCTCCCCCGCCGCCGGCGCCCCCTCCTGGCGGGGCGAGGCGGCGCCGAACCCCGACCTTGAAAACGGAGCGGCCGTTGTTGTCGCCGTCGCCTGTCCGAACAGACTCGGCACGCCACCTGGCTGCTGCGATCCGAAGCCCGCGTTGCCGGGGGCGACGGGAGGAGAGCCGAGGAGGCTGGGCCTCTGCTGTGGCGATGTCTGCAACCCCAGCGTCGTCGCCGTGGACGACGCAAACGTTCCCTGTCCGAACAGCGACGTCCCTGCGGTGGCGCCACCTGCAGGGAAGAGGCTCTGCGCAGGTTTACCGAAGACGCTCGCAGAAGGGGGCACCACCGTCCCGCCGAACGGGATGGCAGGCTGCACCGCGGCAACGTTCGCTTGTCCTCCGAACACGCTGCCACCGGTGGCGCCCCCGCCGCCGAAAGCTGTCGTGCCGCCGAACAGACTTCTCCTGGAACCCTGCTCCCCTCCTCCTCCTCCTCCTCCTCCTCCTCCTCCTCCTCCTCCGAAGAGACTCGTGGTCCCCGCGGTGAAGGCAGAGGGCGCCGGCGTGGCGCGGGGGTCGGCGGGAGGCAGGAGGAGGTCGGGGGAGAAGCCTGCGCGGCGGTGCTCTTCTATCTCGGAGAGGAGTCGTTGTCGTGCGTCCGGGTCATGCTGGATGTCCCGCAGCTTAGCGATGCGGCCGCACCACGCGCTGAGCAAACCCGCAGCCGCCTGCTCCTGGGGGAGTTAATTACTAATTAACATCATGCGATTGATTGATGGATGGCCAGGTGGTTCAAAAGGGCAGCGAGAATCGTGCCAGATTTAATTATTAATTAACATCACACGATTGATTGATGGATGGTAAACCCGTGGGCATTGTAGTTTAGTCGCAGTTCAGGTTATACATATTCACCAATTTAAAATAGATTCGATTCCACCATCTGGAGCATCAAAATAAAGAACACAGTAGACTAGTGTGTCCTCACTAAAAGCTCCATGCATGCAACTGCTGGCTTATCCAGATTAACACTGGGAGCAGAACAAGGATCACATAGATAAGGATCACGTAAGTGCAATTGAATTATAAATTAAGAAGATCAAGTGAAGGTACAATGAATGAATGTGTACGTACATATTTAGCGAAGTTTCCTTCCCTCACACATTCGTACGCCTGGCATCGCAGTTCCTCGGGGGAAATGTCATTGAAACCTATCACGAAAAAAACCTCAGTCACTTCTAATCGCAGATAGGAATTAATCATTCTTAAACACTGATGCGTTTGGTAGCAACACAAACTTTTTCTCAAACGCCGTCGAGAGAAACACCATCGAGCTACCACCACCACAGTTTCTCGTATGCAGTGTATGGATGTCAGGTCCATGAGAAAAAGTTGAGAGATGTTATTAGTTAAGACTAACATTAAGACTAATTTTATATCTGACAACGCATCCCATGTCTTAGTTTTCAACCACCCGACACGTCCGCTGATACATCCATTCGTGATGTAGGGTGCGAAATTAACGCGAGTCCGGAGTCAAATACTCCCTGATTTACTGTTGGACTCCCTGATTTTTCCGTGTAGCTCCCTTAAAATTCTGCTATACTAACTAGTTCGTACCAGAGCATGGCCTCCTTATTATTCCCACGCGAAATTACTGTATTTTTTCAGCAAATGTCCAAAGAAAATTTGGCAGATGTGCAACTGCATGAATCTTCAAAATAAGCACATGCGTTATTGTTTTAAAAATATCTTTAGTTTTGAACTTCAGACTGCGAACTCCCTCATTTTGCCACGAGCTCCCTCTTTTTGAGGTCTACCCCAGCGATGTCTCTGACGACGTCGAGCAGGGTCCGCCCGCCAACACTCACCGCTCAGACACGGTCCTTCCTTCATGTAGGCGTAGCAGGACAGCGGCCACATGTGACTCTCCTCCCAGACGCGCGACTCAGTGATGATGGCGTTACTGAAACACACGCGTGGGGAGAGCGTAAACGCGCACCGGAGAATCGTGAGGGATTGCAGTCCAGCCAGTATATAAAGGTCAGTATATAGAAACCTGTATCTAGTGGTCACTATAAGGACTCACACGATGTCTGCGTTTGAGTGCTGCTTCGTTAGATTCACCGTCGTCAAGTGCTGCGTCCCCGCCTGCTGCTGCTGCTGCTGTTGCTGCTGACCTTGTAATACCTGTAACAGATGTAATCTTACAGACAAGGCTCCAGGCTGGCAAGGCTGCAGACCAATGCAAGCGCCATGTCACCAACTGTACTTCTACTTCTACTTTTATACTGGACAGTCCGTGAGGACATGTCATGTGCATGTGAAAGATTAGACTGGGGAATTTCTACATATAGACAGTAACGTGTTCCAGAGATCGAGGCTTCTCTGGGCTAAGCACTCATTATTACTGAGTGTGGCTAGCATACGACTGTAACGTATTTACGCTGAATTACGCGAAGAATTTACGGTGAAAAAGACCGGTCACTAAATTTTGCATATGAGGGGATTTCAGGCTCGAAAGAAAGTGGCTTTTAGTGCAATTGCTTAATTTCGAACCCTGGATGCAGAAGGAGGCAGAGAAGGGCAGCCTCGCACGCGCACGCATACTCTCTCACCTCGTATCGGTTTCCACTCTGTCTCTGCTGCGTAGAGTATTCCGATCTGTGATCTAAAAGTGATAACGTTGGTACCTTTACTTGTACAGAGTGGCTATATGCCCGGCAGCCGGCATATATTTGACGGCTGCCGGGAACGGTCTTCGATTTCCTAAATGCCCGGCAGTTTTTAATTTTCAGCGTTATCTCAAGTAAACAAGGGTTAGGGTTAGGGTTAGGGTTAGGGTTAGGAACTGCCGGGCATTTAGGAAATCGAAGACCGTGCCCGGCTGTCGGGCATATAGCCACAGCGTTACTTGTAATAATATTTTGAATTGTTAATTTCAAATTTTTAGGTATTGTTTAGTAACCTAAACTAACTTGGGCTTAGCTCCTCTTTACGACTTTAGTTACTTGGCCTATGAAGAATATCCTTTATAACTATGATGCGGTTATGACTTATGTCGAATATGACTAAAGGCCCGCTTATGTCGGCCTTACGACCTAGTCGCCGACAAGATTTGAATATCGTACGTCAAAAACCGGCCAAAAAACTCGACATGAGTTCTCTTACGATCGAAAATACGGTCGCCGACTGCGATCGCAGGAATAGAACATGTTCTATTTCTATGCGGCTGTCGGCGACAAATCGTGAGTGGCAGCCAATCACTGCAGCGTGTCGAGTCATAAATGTGTTTTTCCGCCACCGATCACCCCTGGATCATTAATAGGGTTTAGCAAGGCATAGGGTTCTTGTTTTGCTCATGTAGGGTATACGTACATTGATCTTGATTTGTTTACATAGGAGTTTCACTACATGGTTGAGTATTGCACATGGGTTTTTGTTTTGGTAACGCAACAATTTCACTGAACGCGACCACCCAAGTCCCCGCTTGACCTTGTCGCGACCCCTCTGTGACCTCGCTGACCTCCACGTGACCTCCGCTCCGCAGGCAAGCTGTTGTCGGACGAGAACGGCGGCAGCGACAGTCCGTACTTTGAGTTTGTCGAGAGCTGCCTGCGCCACAAGTCCGAGATGGTGATCTATGAGGCCGCACACGCGATCGTCAACATGCGGGGCACGACCTCGCGAGAGCTCGCACCGGCCGTCTCCGTCCTCCAGCTGTTCTGCAGCTCTCCGAAGCCAACCCTGCGCTTCGCCGCAGTGCGCACCCTCAACAAGGTAACCATGGTTACGCTCGTGTTGAACGAGGTAACCACGGCGACGCGCGTGTTGAAAGAGGTAACCACGGTGACGCGCGTGTTGAACGAGGTAACCATGGCGACGCGCGTGTTAAACGAGGTAACCACGGCGACGCGCGTGTTGAATGGAGTAACCACGGTGACGCGCATGTTGAACGAAGTAACCACGGCGACGCGCGTGTTGAACGATGCTGCTTCGCTCTGCTCCCGCACGCTCGCTACTATATCGCTTTCCTACCAGTCTGTCTCCTATCTCTGCTGCTACTCTACTACACTGCTTTCGCTTGCGTCTTCGCTACTCTCTCTCTGCTGGCTACTCTCGCTGCTACTTAACTGCTAGCTCCACTGCCTACTACTACTGCTACCCCGCCTGCTCCGCCCACTCATTGCTACAAACTGCTACCACTGTTGCTGCTGGCTACGTACTCGCTGCTGCTTGCTCCGCTAACTACTGCTACTCCGCCGCCGCCCTGAACGCTTGCTGCTGCTACATCCGCCTTCGCTGCTAGCTGCTTGCTACTGTCTACTACTCGCCGCTTGCTGCTACTACTTTCCGCTGGGCTACTACTGGCTACTGAATGCTCGCTGCTCGCTCGCCTGCGCTACTGCTGCTGTCGCTGCTCGCCTGCTGCTACTCGCTCGCTGCTTGACTATCTGCTACACGCTGCTGCTGCTGTACTTTCCCGCTGCTTACTAATCTACTACTTCACTGTCACGCTGCTGCTTCGCTCTCTTACCGCTGCCACATCTCGTCTCTCTTCCTTCATCCCCATCTCCTCTCTCCTCTCCTGCTTAACTCACTGCTATGCCTGGCTGCTGCTATGCCTGCCTCGCTGCTACTACTCGCTACTGCTCTGCTGCTGCTGGCTACTACTGCTACTACTGATACTAACTGTTGCTGCTGCTATCTACACTACTGCTGCTGCTCCTGCTACTACGATACTCCTACTACTACTCGCTGTCTAATGCTACTTCGCTTGCTACTCACTCCTCGACCTACTACTCGGCTGCTACTTCACTGATCTGCGCCTATCAGGCTACCACCTATTCGTCCGGCGCGCCACCATCTCTCTTCTCCTCCCGCACTCACGTTTCCCGTGTTGCTTCGAACCTTGCGGCCGAGGACTGCGTATCGCCTCGACGACGACGTATCTTGAACTGCGTCCGAGATCTCAACTCAATGAATCCGGACCAATCTGCCTTCATGAGGCGTCGCACGCCTGCGCTCGCTCCCCTCGTCTTCAGTAGTCGTCCGTGATCGCTCGAAGCGACGACGCTCTCCAGTCCCCGTTGCCTCTCTCTGGCGTTCTCCTCTCGGCCGTCCACATCCGTTATCCAAGCCGTTCTCAGTCCCAGGTGCAGTGCGCGTGATGGCCGCCGGGTTGCGACATTCGCCACCTTGGTGCGGGGCCGAGAGACCGGAGAACCATGAGCCGCGGCGGAGGGGCTTATTTGCAATTTTTTATGTTATCACGTTTTATTAGGGTGCAATCTTTAAGTATCTGAACACTAGCACCCACGCCGGTTACCTCTTTGCCATGTCTTTCGCGTGTGTGCTACCTAGCTTCTAGAGTATTAAGGTGTTGACATGTGCCCCTGGTAAGTAAAGGTGAGGCCACAGCTGTCGCCGCGCGTTTCCGTGTTGCTTCGTTCAACACCACATCACACACCGTGACTTCAATCACAATCGCTGGTCCACGTGGTTTAGCTCCTCCCTCGTTCCAACCACGCTCTGGCTCGTCTTCCAGTCTCGGTCCACCCGTCTCTCCTCGTCGCGTGCTTTCCTCCTCCTCTCGTCCTTCTCCTGACGTCTTCTCGCGTCACTCTCCGTCAACCCTCCGGCGACTCCCCCGGGCGCGCGTCCCGCCGTTGCGTTACCT